TATTCTGTTCAAGTAATACACCTTCCTCTATGGTTTCATCTCTGTTTTTGTTTAGCCACATCCTTCTCTCACAACATAGAAACCAACTGAAAATTCAGCTTGGTATCTCTAAACCCTCCTGTCTTGAAACTTTGGTTCACCTTCAGCGTACTAAGGCTCCTCTAGACTTCCTTGTTTGTGCCTGCAGTCCTCCTCCGAATTCCTGAGCATCAGGTTGTTGCTTGTTTCAGACCTCAGCTCTGTCCACCAGAGTAGACTGGTCACCCAATGGTCTATGAAATCAGAGAGCTAAAGGATTTTGTATTTTCTGTGTTGTGGGGTTTGAGGGGTGCGTGTTACAGCATACTTATCTCAGCATGGTTGTTATTCTTCTTTAATATTTACCTCATATAAAAGTGACTGGTTTTCCCCGTTAGAAACTTCCTAATTTGAGAGCAATGACAATAGCAATAAGGAATTCATTTGTGCAGTTTATTTCTACTTGGCTCATTAAATTAAAGACAATCAAAAACATTGTTCAAAAAATCTAACCCAGTCAATTCTTGTGCTTTTACATGTACCAGTAGATTATAAGTAACAGGGAAGGCTGTTAAATGCAATCAGTCAAGATGAAAAATGAAGTCGGTGTTATTACAGCTCTCGCTAGCAAGTTTAAAAGGTAAAATGTACTTGTTTTAATCAGCTTCCGCAAAATCCAGACAACACAACCTCAGAGGCGGAGGGATGAGCTAAGATCAGCTAAGACAGGAAAAGCAAGAACCAATGCTCTTGCAGGGATGAAGGGAGGAGATCCTCCAGCCACTTTGTTACCCTTTGTAAATGTTTTTCATTAAAAGAATAGTGAATATGCAGTGGGTTACACTCAGGTTGTTGCTGTACTGAACATAGGGATGTGTAGAACTACTCTGTCCTGGGACCCAGTCTAAAACATGGTGTAGCACAACTGTGTGAGGAAGCAACAATAAAATGTCATGGGATACATGTGAAATGGCATGAAGAGGTTGTTTTAACTCTGCATCTAAAGTTGGATGTTCTGAATTGCCCTGAGATTTTTTATTCAGTCCAAAGAATGTTTTGTCAGGTTTATTTTTGCCTTTAGTGTTTTGTTTTTTTTTAACACCAGATAAAGAGACCTTCCTTTTTAACACAGAAAGAGAGCAATCACTTTCAGATGAGTCAATGGAATAATCCTTGTCCTTCTTTTTTTCTTATCAGATTGACTTTGAATTTAAAACAAGCACAAAGGGAAAAGCACAAGAGTTAGCAGTTTCTACTTCAACAAATACGTGGTCTTTCTTCTACATCTACTTATTTATTCAAAGTCTTTCAGTGTCTTACAGATCACAGGCAGTGGAGAGTCTCTGGAGAGAATTAGACTGCTCTTACTGTACAGAATACATATTGTCAGCTTTGCTCATCTTGTCTCAAACAATGTGTGCAACTAGTTGAGTATCAAGGGGAAAGGCAGAAGAAAGCTCAAAGTGGTTCTTTGTGAGTGATTGAAAACACTTCCTTGGGTTTATTTAAACTTGCAGACTGCATTAGTTAACTTGGAAAATACGCTTGAGAACAGCTGGAATCCAACTGAATGCAGCCAGTCCCACTGAATTGTTAATGATGTCTACAGCATATTGGGATTTGTTTTGGAGAAAATACCCAATGCGTAATTTGTTAGCATGTTTTCAGTCTGAAGTGTGAAACTAAATCGAAGCCTACCCCACTGTCCTGCCTTTTAAAGACTCAGAAAGGTACAGGCAAATACAAGTGCTCATTCTGCAGCAGGTCTTGAGAAGATGTTTCAGATAAGGCATCTTTAGCTCTGGTTCTTAGGCTAACATTCAGCAACGATGGGGGAATGAAGAAGTGGTTTCGTTTGTCTGCTGTTTCTCCAGGTGATGGATTTAACACGTCTGGAGTGTTTTGCCTTGTATTTCTACTGATTTTGACTTTTCTCCTTTTGTTTGGTTTGAAGCAGGCTATGTGTGTTGTTTACAGAACTGTGCATTTGAATGCATTTTCTAAAGCAATTGCTGTAACCACACTAGTAGAAACAAGAGCAATTACTGATGCTCACAGCTATCTTATGGCCTGAAATATCCATTACTATATACAGGTACAGTTTTTAAAAGAGAGGAAACATTGGGAGATTTGTAACCTTAGATGGAATGTAAATTCATATGAAAGTTAGTAGTTTGTGGCTTTTATTCTTGGCTACTGGAAAGGCTTCTCCTTGCTCCATGAGCTCCAATAGAGGAAGGCATTGGCAGAATCTTGCAAGCTGTTTCTGGAAGCCTGGAAGTTAGTAGTTCTTCCTGCTCTGCCAGGAGCCTTGTGTGGAGAGGCTCAGTGCTAAGAGCTTTGATTACACAGCCTGCAGGTATAAAAAGTGATGTATGGGCATTTAGCACAGAGCTAACTGGAATTACACATTTCAAGCCTGTGGGCAATAACACTAAGAATTTGAAGTAAATTTTGTTCCAGGTTAGAGTTAATGTACCTTTTAAAAGACAAATTTAGAACAAAATTAAAACAGTTTGCAGGTTCAAGAAATATACACCTGTGGTGCCTAATTTCCTTTCATAATCTCATTTTACATTTTTTTGTGGTTTTATGAGTGCATGCACAACACCTTTTAATATTACAAAATGCATATGACAGTCAAAGTATTATTTGACACATTCAGTTGTAATAGCAACTGAAATGTCTGTCTTGTTTCCTGAGTTACAGTGGAGCATCAGACTTTGTATGTACATTATAACCTTTGAGTTACTCCTAGTACACCTCAAGGTAGAAAAGACTGAACTACATAATCTCCTGCTGTGCATACCCTGTGGTACAGCATTATGCTGATCATCATGCCAGTGCTCCCCTACAGATCTTTTTAAACTTAAAATTCTAGAATTCTGCGAAATGACAAATTCAGAGCCCAAACTCCTCTCATTTAAAAATTAATTTTCCCTACAGGAACTTCCCTTGAAATCAGCATGTTCTCTGAATGTTTCCCTTTTAAACAACCAGCAGTCGTTGTTTCAAAAGAGTAGAAGAATAAACCCACCTTTTAGAAAAACATTCGGAACAAGCTCTTATTTGAGGTCTGATGCCAGGGACGGCTCTTCCCTTAAGATATCCCTGTGGGTGATGAGCTTAGCAGAATGATAATAGTTTGTTCCTGTGGACTGTCTTTTCTTTTGCCTGCTGCATGCTTCCTAAATCCCTCTCTGCTAAGGAAGGCCACAAAGAGGCCACCAGGACCTTTCTACATATGAAGGAGAAGCTGAATAACCACTAGCTCCACATGCAATTCTCTCCAGCCCCTTCCCAGGAGGGCTGCACTGTGCATTGGCTTTTCCCTTGCTACACAACCCTTCCTCGCTTCCCCAGTTGCTGCATTGATGCCCCTACCAGACCTCAGGAGCCCTCCTAATCCTGTAAACTGAAGAAGGGCAGTTATCCTCATTTTCTGCCCTTGTTATTAGTCCTACTCTCCTGTCCTTGCACCTTTGTTCTGCTGATGTCCCACTTCCCAGGGCTCATGTCCCCATGCAGCCACCTCTCCCACGTGGCACCATCTGCACCTGCATGCAAGTCTCACTGCTCTCTGCAGACCTCCCCTTGCCCTCTGCAGAATGGTGGTGATTGCTGGATTCTTTGCTTCTTTGCTCTGTTTTCTTTAACTGACCTCTAACTGGAGAATTGTTCCTCATTTTGTGCTTAAGGCTAACAGCCTGAACTAATTCCCCAGGTATTCCTCACTGAAAATGCCTCAAAACAAAAGTATTTATATGCCTCTTGTTACCACTGAAAGCATAAGGAAAACTCACTTTCCCTACCATTGTCTGTTCAACATTTGCACAGCAAAATTCATGGAGGAGCTTGGTATATGGGGCATTTGCACATCATATTTTTATTTTGAAAACCACATTAAAAATAAGGCCTCATTGCCATGAAAAAGTAATGCTTGAATTTGTAACTCTATAAATTATACCTTCTTAAACAAGCTCTGGTTTTGTCTCAGAGCTCCCATCTCAGGTTGCTTTCACTTGCTCCGTAGTAATGAAATGCCACCATAAACTTATTTTATGTCCTGCTTTTCAGTAAAATACAGTGTAGTAGGTGGCAGACACAGGAAATTTATATCCTCAGTCACATCGCTGTGAAAAGTATTAATCACAAATAGGACCTGTATCCTCAACATGTCAAATTTACAAACAGCAGAGAAAATTGAGATGGACCAAAGGGAATCAAAGAGGTTCTTAGATGGTCTCCTGTGCCATCCTCCCTCAGATAGTTGGGCTCAGAGCTTGTGTGTGTGTATGTGCTCCTCACAGAGGTACTCTTCAAGCTGGAAGTCACTCTGAATGCTAAGAGACAGTGCTAGAGAATATGAAGCTTGGCTTATGGCGAGTGGCGAATGCTGTGTCCTCAGATCACTGGTTGCAAGTCCTCATGCAGACAAGGTGAAGGTGAATGATGCATCAAAAATAAGCCTAATACTGCAACTGTGACTAGCTGAGGCTTTGGAGAGAACAGAAAGCCAGTCATCCAGCAAGTGTCCCTGAAGATTTTGATCCTGTATAAGTCATCTTTGTGCAGTCCTACTCAGCTTCTCCTCTAGCCCAGGATGAGGATGCACATCAAGGTAAAGGGAACACAGAGCTCAGAACAGATAGAATGGACTACTGTGTAACTCTTTGTGCTTTAATGGCATTTGTGACTCTGCAGATGGCTGGAGAACCAAGTGAGTGTGTAAGGCCTTCTGATCTTCTTTTGTGCTGTGTATGTCAGCTCAGCCACATGCATGCAGTCATGATTGCAGAAGTGGCAGGTTGGCATACAACACAGTACTGGGTAGAATCATTCTGCACGAAGCCCAGGATGTGTATTGGTGAAATAATTATATTTTGCCATTCTGGTGTGTACGTTAGTGACATAGTTCTGTACAATTGCAAACAGAATTATAAAACTGATTTCTTTCTACCTTCTTTTTTTTTCTAAAACAGGTCTGAAGAAAGAAGTACAAAAAGATCAGGATGCTAACAGACCAGCTGTTTCATCCCCTAAGAAATCAGCAGTAACAGCCACCAAGCTCCATTCACCAGGTATTTATGAACCTGAAAGCACTGTTTCAGGCAAGATTTAAACTTGTTGACTTTGCAGCTCTTGTTAACATAGTAAACTCTGAGACCTACTATTGTTAAGTGAAGATTGATTGTGTCCAAGTTTCATTAAGCTCACTGTGAGTACAGCAGGCTTTATCATACCAATGCATGAGCTGAATAGACTTTTGTTTTCTTTGTAACAACTGTGCAATCATCTCCCCTTCAAAACAAAGATTTGTTGCTATTACATATTTAAGGGCACAGGAACATTTTTTTCATCTTTACAAATTTCTTATAGAAAAAGAGAACAGATAGATACAGTGAAATAAAAGAAACCTCAGACAATTACCTGGAGTGATAGGATATTACTCAGAATCATCTTTTACTATTGGGCAGAGGCACTAAATTCCCTGAGCTATTTATATGTATAACTGGAAAGAGTATTATCTATAGAAATAACATTCAGAATGCTATTGGGGCATTGTCAACTTGCTTCTCAATACTGAGCACAAACACAAGGTTTTAGCATTTCCAAATACATTTGTTTATTTACTCAAGTGAAGAGAACTTATTTCTATTTATGTCTGCAAAGTGTACATTAACAAATGTATAAGGTACCTAAAGGCTTCTGTAAGGCTGTCTTTTGGCTGACCTAAACGCTTTTTAAATGAGTGGGCATTGTCCCATTGATTTCATTGTGTTTGCAGTTTTCTTCTGTTCTGTTACCTAGTTTTTCAGACTCAAATAATTTAACTGTCATCTCTACAGCTCTATGGTATTTGATTATGGTGTGTAAAAGTTCGTATTTCTTCATTTGATGGCGAAGTATAAAACATGTAGAGCAGCTCTTTAGATTCTATGACTTGCCTCAAGAGTCTCTTCATGCTTGCTAATTCCAATCCCTGTTCTTCTCCTTCACAAACAACAAAATCAAGAAAATGGAAGGTTAAATTTAATCTTTCCAAGGACCAACAGGACTTAAAATTCTTCTCCTTATGTAGATACGAGATTAAAAAGATGAACTTAGTACTGTCCTCTGAATTTTACTATTTTCTATCTATTTTGCATGTGGTGAGATCACCAAGAAATATACAAATTAAAATTTGTTGTGTAGAGTGCCAGACCAGCAGCTCATCGGGGTTTATAATGGTGGGAGTCCAATTTAACCATCAGCACTGATTGTGGCTGTAACAGCATGTAACAGCAAAGCTGATATGCTTCCACTAGAATTAGAAAGCAAAATGAAACGGGCATATTCGTACTGTGTATTTGTGTTGTCTTAAGGAGGCACACGTTTCCATGGGTGACTTCACGATTTTCATGGCTTAAATTTTTGGCATATCCAATTTATGAAGCCTCAAATGTTTCCTCTTTGTCATGAGAGGTTGAGTACGTACCCTCTCTCATTCAGATTGATTTAGGATTTCTTAAGCTTGGTTGTCTGAAATTCTGGCAGCCTAAAATTGTTTGTCTCTGTAAAGCTCAAATAGGAAAATAAATCTCATCTTCATTTATTTTTTTAGAGTAGCCTTTAGCATTCTTTGAAATAACAACAGCAATAAGAAGGCGATAAAGACAGACAATTTTTCACCCATTTAATATTTCAAAAAGTAATCAAAGCAGTTATTAAACAGACAAGGAGTGAGTGCAGCAGGGACCAGGGGGCAGTAGCATAGGGTTTCCTCCATCAGGATCACAAACTCATGCAGCATTTACACTTTGTGGTAGGAGAGCATGTGTCCACAGGTAACTCCACCACAGCTACATGTGGTTCTCAAATTTCTGAGTGCTGTTTCCAGGTTGCTTTCCCTCTGTGACTTGCCTCCTCACATGCAGTTCCTTTTAATCAGCTCTGGGTTTTGACTGTCAAACAAATTTTTATTAGCCTTGAATCTGATCTTTAGAATTTGGATCAGTCTTCCTGAAGACTTGCAAGAGATACAGAGTCTTCTAAGGGTCTTAATTTTATCTATTCATTCAATACCATTCCTGAAATCTGTGTATAGGAGCAGGAATACCTAGATGCAGGTGCTCTCCTTCCACTCCATTTTAGGATGGTGACATCTGTCACTCTACAGATTGCTTCTTATCAATCCTGTCAAAATAATTTCACTTTCTCTACCAAAATGTCAGAAATTGGACAGTTAAAAGGCAAATAAATTGCATTCCCACCCAAATCCTCATGGACAGTGTTAATTAGGGGTATACACTTGTTATGCCTCTTTAGTTCAAACACTCTGGTAGATAAAAAAGACCTGGGAGTTTTGAAGAGGATCAAAGGTGTTCAGTAATTTCAGTGTGTGCTAGGTCTGCCCCTCTGGTCCCACCATCAGCAAAAAAGGACATTCAGGATCAGGGCCAGCATCATTAATATATACCCTGTTTTGTGCAGAGCAACAGAGGAGAGACATCAATGGCAGAATAAGCTTAGTAAGCTGCTTTTCAGACACAAATGAACCAAGAAATTCAGATTTATCCCTGAGGAGAATAGAACAGTTTAATTTACAAGGACAGCTTATAATACTATGAAGGACAGCATAGAGATGTACACTTCAAATGTTCCAGTGAACAGGAAAGCTAGAAAGATATAAGAAAAAGCAACCTGAAAGGTTTCTGTTTTAATTAAAACTTTATTTCAAGAGCCTACACCCCCTTCTCCCTATGCTTTCTGTTGTAACCTCACCATGCTTTCTTAACAACCCAAGACTTCTATACTAGAAAGACAGACATTCATGGCTCTTGCTTTACTGAATTTCTTATTCTGTGGTAATACCTACTATACAGTTAAGAGCCCCTTTACATGAAAGAAAGAATCAGTAAGAAACTATTGTTCCTTCACAAAAAGGTGTACTGGCTTTAACTGACCCGAGAATGGATAGAGGCAATAGCTGTGCTGGTTGAACTTTCTTAATGAGAAAGTCCTCTCTAATATCCCATATAGTATTATTTAGGTCTTGCAACATCATGAAGTTAGTTTTGCAAAAGCTGACATTCCTCTTTGTAAACCCAAGTCATGGTCACAAAGTTTCACAGGCTGTTTTGCACTTGTGGCTATTTGCAGTTGCAGTATGAGATTCCTGGAGACATAAGCTCTGCTGGAGCTTAGCCTGGAGCCAGAACATAGTCAAGCAAATTAGAAGATATACTCCCAGTGGCTTCACACAAGCTTGGGATCTGAAAAAGTAGGAATATGCTCCTGGTGTATTGCTCTGGCAAAGCCATACTGCTTCCCTGCCTGAACTAGTAAAATTGCCCTAAGGATCCATTTGCACACCCATGCCACAGTCATAAAGATCTAAGGTATCAAAAGTCTATCTGACAAAATTACCACTGGAACAATGCTCTACATCACAAATTGGCTCAAACTCATACTGTCATATCCATCTCTGTGGAAGGATTCTTCTATCTTTTTGGGGAAAGGAATAGGTAGTATCCACGGCAGAAGACTGTCCCCTGTTACATTCATTGCTGAGAATTGGTTGGAGACATTCTTTCTGCACTGTTTTTCAGCACCTGTATATTATGACACCAAAAAAAAAAAAAAAATAGCCTTTTTCTTTTTTTTTTTCAGATTTTTGCATACCCAACCCTTTTTGCTAACACAGAAACGTTCATTTTTCATTTGTATCCAGACCAATATCCACCATCTCTATCAACACATGGGAACACGGGTCTATTTTATCCTTCTTCCAGTTCCTGAGCTAAAAGCCTGGACTAGTGAGAGGAGCTGAGGAAAAGAACCAGAGATTCTTTGCTCATACTTGGGAATGAGCTAAACAGCATCAGCTGAACAGAACTGAGGGTAGCAAAAGGAATCAGTAAGCTGTGCAAAGGTGTTGCCCAGCTGACCATGCTTGCATAGGAGAGTTCACAGAAAGCTAAGAAGGTGCAGACAAAACAGATTGTCCAGGCAGTGGCTTGAGCAACCACACACTACCAGAACATTACCCCTTCTTGCTTCACCCTCATAGCTGATTATATCCAGAGAAATGGACAATTGACTGAAGCAGGATATGAACTTAACACAGGATAAAAGCCTCACTTCTCTGAGGTGGCTTACCATGAGTAAACTTTAGTTATTGCGAATATGCAAATATGAGATTGTATTTGAGCTGATATCCTAAACACAAGCTACACTAGTGGTTTCACATCTTTATACAGGATCAGACTTGCTTCAAGCTAACTTGGAGCATGTCAGAGGAGCCAAAGTCTGCCTGGACCCATTTCTGCAGGCACACCATATAGCAATTCTTGTGTGACCTATGGTGCAGAGAGAGCAGCCATGCAGAGCCAGTGGGGTAATCAGTCAGCCTTACCTAGTCCCTGGCAGCATTTCTATATGTATCTGTTTTGCACTGCAACTTTAGAAGTGTTGTACAGGGGAGAGAAAGGGGAACTGGCAAGGTAGACTACACTAATGTTGATAAAAAAAAAAAAAATAGCTATATCCCAATAGCAAGCGTCCCATGCTGTTTCTGCATTCAGAGAAGGACAGCTGCAGCTCCACATTGTCCCATTTGGAGACAAAAGGAAATCTGCAAAGGCAAAGAAAATCTGGCACCTCTGTCAAGTCACCAAGCTTGGCATTCAGGTGGCCAAAGAAATCATATAGAGAGTGTAAATATCATCCAATTGTTTTCCATATCTACAATAGGATAAAGTGAATATCAACCTGGAAGTGCCCATTTCTCTCACTGTCATTCAAGAGCAGTATCACACATCAAGATGCAGAACTCTATTCTTGTAGATTTCTAACACAGGTGAGATGAAGCCTTCCTCTAACAGTCTCAGCTGTCAGTAAGACACTTAGGAGAGCTCTTCTCAACTCCTAGCAGACCTTCAGGCTCAGATCCTGAGGCAAGATGACTGTTGCAAAGCTTTAATCTTTGGCCCCTAGAGTAATATATTTTACTGTGCTCTTGCTTTTCTGGAAAGTCATTATGTATCTGTGTGAATGTTACAGACCTTTCTTCTCTATTATAAGGTTGAGCCCAAAAGCCTCAGAAATACATAAAGGTCATGTCTATACATATGAAGTAAGTGACCTTGATGGTCTTTTCTTTTTACTCTCTAGGACATCCCAAGCAAAGGCCAACGACCCCAAAGAATGGATTCTCCGCCAAACCAGGAGAGAGTCGAGATGCTGAAAAGCAGTTCATTCAGAGGTTGAAGGAGAAGTGTGATGAGCAGTCCCGACAGTTAAGCATTATCCGAGACGAACTTAGAAGAGCCAGCTGTGGCTTTGATGTCTTTGCTATAACAACACAGCACTTTTTCAGGCAGGTAAGTGCAAGGGACACTTTACCTACTTTACAAAGGTTCTTTGCCTTTATACCAGTCAGTTGCCCAAATTTATTCCACAGTCATTGAAACTTTGTTATTGGAACAAAGAAAATGTAATTTCTTTGCAACAGGTGTTATGAGGACTGTATTCTAATTTGATGCCATATATTTGAAAATCAAAGGTCAGGAACTTGGAAGAGGAATAATGGTCACTGAAACATTTGTCACAAGCACAGAGGGGTTTCAGGATGTTTATAGGAATGAAGCAGATGCAAAAACTTAGAAGTCCCACTCGCTGGCTGCTACAGTTGGAATGGAAAGTGTAACTGAGACATTGGTACTTGTGAACAAACGCAAGAACAATCCATGCATTTAGTCAACTAAAGGTGTTGGATGAAAGAAACGATTTGCTTTCTCACAGTACTTACTTGATCTTCCTGTTCACCATGGATCAGGCACTGTCCCTTTTACTGAGGTGTCAGTCCTGAAGAGGTTAGAATAACATTATCTCAGCATTTAGGAGATTCCATCCATCAGATATCAAAAACATAAATAAAATGTGGTTAATAATTACAGAAGCTTATTTATTCACTAAACCAGAGATAAAATGAAGGATCTGTAGGCACTGCGAGTTTCAAAAGCTGTTTAGTGATCTAGCTGAGCTCTGAGGACAAGACCTGATGCCTGTGCTTTCTGTACCATCCCAGGTTAAGCTGGTGTCCCAACTACTTTTTAAAACAGGCAGACAATCACCACCAGAAGGACCCAAGTTTTGGATGATATTTTTGATTGCCTGTTGGTCTACTTCTGGAAGAGAGAAGTGTAAACTTTCAGTATTAAGTGGGAGAAAGAAAAACAAAAACCAAAACACAGATTCAAACAGTCTTTGCAAATTTTGAAATACTTTATTCAGCTTTTAGGGCTTTTTTATATTAGTGACAAAGGTTACTTTGAGCAAATGACTGTAGCTCACGCTTTTCCCTGTGCAGGAGCTGATGTTGCCATGGGGAGCTTCACTGAGCTGAAAAATAACAGGGAATTTTTAAAACATACTAAGTATTTTAAATACATTCCCAGGGGATTTTCCCCTCTGTTTTTCTTCACTCTTGACATTTCTGGGCTTGATGGGCATTTTTCTTTTCTTTTTTTTTTTTTTTTTTGAGCTGACTGTGGACTCTCCTTGGTTAAAGCAGAGGAAAACAAAAAAGGGCAAAGCAGTGTCTGCTCAGCTTTGTCTATGCATTGTCCACTGGGGAGAGATTTTTCATCTCATGCCTTGTTACAATTTGCTGGAGGAATTTTGGAAGCTTGGGCATATCTCTTCTGTCTCCTCTGGGTATGTTTTAAATGAGAACAGCTGCTGCAGACGAGAATCTCATCCTGTTGGTGCATATTAGATCTGACCTGAAAATGCCTCCTAAGCTGAACACCTCAGGGGACTTTATTTAATAGTGTCCTCTCCAAGTCTTGGTTGGGCATAGCTGTGCCTCATGTTCCCAGCTCCTATCAACTACCAGGCCAGCAGTCATACTCCTCTTGAGTGCCTGGAGGTAAAAAATAATACACCAGTGGAATTTAAGCAGTTTCAGGCTTGAGCAGGACTAGATGTAGATTTTTCTGAGATCCACTGCTGAACTTGCTTACCTGTGCTCAGCCTGAGTGTCAGTCCCTTCTGGGCTGGCCTGGTTGCCCTGAAGTGTATATATATGTGCACATCACCATTCAGTGCAGTGCAAGACACTTGTGTAACGTGGACCTCTGCCAGGTGAAGACACTTCTGGCTTCCCTGGGTGATGAGCTGCACAATCAGTGAGAGCCCAGAAGTTACCCACTGAGAACGGAGGATGTGGTATCTACATGAGGAGTATGGCTGCTGTAGGCTCCATTTTTAGTGAATAGAGGCAGGTGAGTGCTTCCATCACCCTATTTACAGCACCAGAGATCTGAATTTCCACTTGAGGTACTTGCCTGTTTTGACTGAGGCCTCCAGGGAGGCCTAAAGCTGCTACACTTTTAAATTCAATGCTCAAGTTGAGAGCCTGCATGTAGTGGGATGATCTGGGACTACTCAAGGAATTGAGTAATTGGACAGTCTTTTTTCCTGCAACATAAACACAAGCTTCTGAGTTTTTGAGTGTCATTCACAGACACATTCTGTAGACATTCTCTGAGATGGCATTACTGTTTGAAAGCTTGAGCAAAATTGCATTGGCTGGCCCTGAGTTACGGCAGCATGGAAAAGTAATCTTTTCCCATTATAAAAATAATACAATTGTGTGTGTTTGTTCCTGAAAAGCCTGAAGGCAAAATGGTTGAGGTCTGAGTAGTGCCGCAGTTTGGCGAGGGAATAATGCTTGTTCAGGAAAAAGGTGGGGTTTTATTCCAGACAAGTTTGGGGTGGATTTGTCCAACTGGCTGTTATACTCTGCTTAGCAGAGGGCCTAATCCTACTATGGCGATAGGGAGCCTCTTTGGGCTGATAGTCATCCATAGCCTAATTTAGTGTGTATATATACTTACACCACACAAAAATAATGCCCAAAACATAGATTTTTGTCTGAATTAGAGCTGAATTCTGTTGGAAAATGCATTCCCAAACAGCAAGGCTTGGTCTGTGTTAAAATCAACCCAAGGACCAGTGTTTTACACAGAGGTAGGAGTCTCCCCATGCCCATAGCTCTCTTGTCTTGCTCACACTGCTTATGTTTTCCTTCCAAAGCTGAGGAAAGCACCAATGCAAGTGATCCAGCAGACATGCTTAGCTGAAGAAGGAGAGGGTCAATATGTGGCAAAGGGTGTTGGCCCTCACCAGCAGTTTGAGTTCTTTCCAAATTTAAGCACTTGCTGTAGCAACTTTTAGGTTACATGACAATTTTTTTTTTTTGAGTTTTGTTGGATTTGTTTTCAGGCTGTCCAGGCCACTATGGAATGGTATCCTGGAATCATCTCTGTCACTTTAAAATGCTCTTAATAGTGAGATTCATGTAATAGGCATCAAGGAGTATACAACATGAAGCAGTACTTACTACAGACCCGTTAAATGCCAGCTAAACCAATTCACTATCTCGGGGGAAAAGCCTATGCAGTCAAAGCAGGTGATTACTGAGGCAGTGGACAAAACAGTATTAAAGCAGTGGTTCTGACATAAGCATTTAGCTGATTATTAAAAGTAATGATTGCAGTGCCTGTGGACAGTGTGGCTTTTAATTATTATTTCATTAACAGATGGATTAGTTAAGACTCTCAGATATACACTCATTATTTCTGTTGGATTTGGGAACCACTTCAAACTTATTCTGAAGAGGAGCGGACCGAGTTTGTCCTTAATGTTGGATGTTCAACATGTCGATACAAATCTTTGTGCTGTGAGGGATACTCCCAAGTGAACAACCGGCTGGTAGGAGCTGGAATGGTGCCATGAAGATGATACCACGAAGACTCTGTAGAGCAAATATCACTAACGGCTCCCCCTGCCTTGGGTCATTCCTGACGCTCTGGCTCGTTAGCCGGCAACAGGGATAGCCCTGACCCAGTTTCAGCCCTGCTCAGCAAAGTGGCGGGCGGCAGTCCCTTTTGGAAGTGGTAACAGTGCCATCTAAAGGATAGCAGCCCAAAGTGACAAATTCTGGAGGGTAAATCCTGCTGGACATAAATAGGGAAGAAAAAAAAAAAAAATCCTCTTTAATACAGTACACTCAGAACAGAAATGTTTGTGCTGAGGGCTGATGTGTCCAAACTCTGGCCAGGCTCTGGAAACCGGGCTAATGCTTTCTGCCGGTCCAGCCTGCCCAAACAGCTGAAAAGTGGAGTCCTGTTAGCAAGGGTTATGCTGGAGTAGTCTGTCCTGTACTCTGCATGAGCATGGAGGGGTCTCCAGACTTGCCCCACACTGTGGTTTTCACCACAGGGGTGAAAACCTCAGGACAGGTCCCAGCACATGAGCACAGTCAGATCAGCTTGGAATGGGGGTACCACATGGATGCCCTGAATGAGAGCTGGAACAACACTGCTGAACTTGATGTCATCCCAGCACTTTGTGTCTACCAACGTTGGGAAAGACGTCACCAGTAACCTGTCTGTCTCCACATCTGAGTGTGGGTTACTTTTGGGTGGGTATACAAAACACATCTTCCAGACAAGGAAAGGCACATAGCAATGTCCTGCAAAATCCAGGATACACAAGGAAAACCTTTTCCCCCATTCAAATAACTGAGATATGTGTGTGCTTGTGTCAGAGTAATGTTTCTGTCCTGGGAATGGACAAAATGCCACCCAGGGTCATGTAACCACCTTGTCCAAATGATAATGACCTCTTGTGTTAGAGGCAAAACTGGCTGCAACAGCTGTAGTTGCTTGGCACTTCTCACCATCACCTACAAACCAGTCATTTTGGCTAACAATACAAGTGCATATCTCAGGCTGAGATGAAAATGGTTTGTTTTCACAACTGCCTGAGAATGAGTGTAGGAGAAATATATCTATTGTTTGTGCCTGGTGGTAAGAAGCCAGCAAACATCAGAAAGACTGACCTTCTGGCTTTTGGGGGTACTACTTTCCCAACATTTGCAAAATGGGTTAGAATTTAGCCCAAGAATAGTCTTTAGAAAGATGCCGCTCTTCCCTCCCTCATCATTATTACAGCTTGGCTAGATTCCCTTTCTTGAGCAAGTTCAGTCTTTTCTTTGCTCCTGCTGGAGCTCAGAGCAGTGAGAACAACTCAATATTTTCATTCTGTATCCTGGAAAAAATCCATTTTGGACTTATCAAACCATGGCAGTTTAGGAATATGAATCAAAACCATTTTATTGCAAGACAAAAAACCACTTTGTTTACTTGGAAGAAAAAAAAACAGAAAGAAGCTTTACCATCATTTAGGGCTTTCTAAACTGCTTTTAAAGTAGAAATGCACAAGATTTGTAATCGGGGGCTACTAGTTATGGTAAAAGAGCAGTAAGAATCGGGAAGTGCTCCTTTTCATGCAAGCTCTGTCATGCAGCTGC